GACATATTTTATATGAAATCACAAGTTTGGAGCATGCGCGTGACCAGAACAATTTTCTGTCATGTTACAATTTCATACATAGGCAAGGTAACCAAAATCAATGCGCAAACTCCTTAAATTTGGATCCAACAGGCCGATGCCCCCGGGGCTGGGGCCCGTTTCTTGAAGGTCCCGAAAAGCCGTAGCAAAATCTCAAACCTTACGACTACAGAACCGGTTTTTTTTTCACATATTCCTAATATGAAGAGAAGTTCCCTTCGTACAAGAAGTTTCGAGCGTATATACCTCTCTGTCTTTAAATACTGATTAACTAAAAATGGCTTTCCAGACCCCAAAAGTTTCCGGTGCTCTCGAGAAACAGGCTCCTGGGCCGTTGCTCACAGGGAATATGGTCTAAATGCTTACAGGTACCACTAATACCTAGTCTCATCCCCAGATCAGCTGCATACTATTTTTAAATACCAGCGTCTTTCACTGTCATTACTGTTGGGTGTTACAACGACATTCTGAAACCATTTCCTTCACTTTTGTAACAAGATCTGCCTTGGTATCTCTAGGTTGGAATGGGAGGTCGAAATGTGAACAGATCTCTCTAAACATCTTCACCTTGAAAGTTGGTAGCTTCGCCTCTCTTGCAAACGTGCACAGATCGTAAATATCGTACAAGATTGGGTGGGTCAAGCCTACTTTCCCCAGGACAGCTTCCCTTGTTTCTCTCAAATGCTCCCCGTCTACACTAACTTGCAAGCGTAGTCCACTGCTAAATCGTGGTCCTCCTCTGTTTTTGTATCTAGTTCACCTGCACTCATCAACTCTATTCACTTCAGACTTCCCTGTTTTATGCTTGCAGACAATCTTGAAAAGAAAACTTTAATTGAACACTTCGAGAACCACTCCGTTCTATCAAACATTCTCTCTCCATCCATTGTGGAAGCAGTCGGTGTATCCTTCGCAACTTGGGCTGGATCTTCTTTCTGACCAGTGTCTTGCCCGATGTTAAACTTCTGTATCACGTACTGCCTAGCCTTTTGAGAAAATCTCACACTTGCGTGTTTCTTTTGAAGTGCCCATCCATTTGCAATCATGAGGTACTTTTCAGGCATTCTGCCTCCGCCGTTGTTGCTCCACTTGAACTTTCACTTTGTGAAGTCAATGTCTGGATGAAAAACTGTCCCATATAAAAATCTAAAACTGAGGTTAAGTATTTTGCAAAGAAAAACGATGAAATGTTTTAACGCCTGTGTTATGTAACAAAAGGTGTGTAAGAAAGTTACAATTTGTTGTACGCACCTGAATCGACTTGAACAAGAACACCATACATTTGATGGCTTTAGCTATTTCAAGATTCACTGAATATCGGCTCTTTGCCCTTTTCTGGCTCCTACCAAGACGCCCTCAATGTGCTGGATACTGACAGGCTGTTCTGGGTCGCCAGAACTTCCCATATGCATGCCTGTGCTTGGTGCATACGGACATTTGCACGACAAGCAACTCGTCTAAATGAAAAAGGCCAGCCCTCGCCAAGATAAGCTGTCCCTCTGTTATGGTCTCTCGTGACAAATGGATGGAAGCAAGGTGACTTTCTATGGAGTCACTGCGTTGAAGTAAGCTAATGATACCCAATGTTCCTATTGAACCCCACAAAGGTCTGTACACGTGCGCGATAAAAAGCACGACATTTTGTGTTGAGATAGGTATCCGTTTAATCTGATTTGTCAAACAACTAGCACTCAGCTAGCACTGAAATTTCTTGCCAAAAAAGCCCCTAAAATTAAATTACAAAATTGATGCTAAACGAGGCCACNCACCCATAACTCAATTGCTGGTTTTCAGTGTCACGCAATTCAAAATAGATCAAAATAAAAATCAAAACAGGTCAATAGATAAAGTCCAAAATCTGGGAAATGAAAGAAGGTAAATATGCAGACTATCGCCAAAATTCTGGTCACGGCAATTTTTCTTATGCGAGATACACGGAGAAATTTTTTACCCAAATTTGTAGAGATTTGTATGGAGATGCCATGCTGGTGCCCATCCGTATGGGCACCAACATGGCGACCGGAAACCAACAGAAACATCTGTCACTGAGTTTTGCTACAAAAGCATGAATTTATCCCTCAAGGAACTCTAAAACATTAAAATAATACTTTTCTAAGACATGAACTGTTCAGATAGCCAGGTTCCCCGAAATAAGTCACTTTTTTTAACCATCATGAAAGCTATCTAGGCCGTCATGTAAATGCCGTGTCACACAAAAGCTTAGAAATTCAAGTGTAGTGTATCACAAAACCAAGAACCCATTTGAAGCGAAAATTTGTATGAATATTAGTTTTCAGCTGCTCTTATACATCCTTAAAGTAAAATTTCAGGAAGATCAATAGTTTTGTAGTTAGAATTTTAGTGATGTCATGTGAAAACTAGCTATTCCTGTTGTTGGGCAGTCGCTTCAACGGGTAATAAAAAAAGCCAAAATTGATTTTTTTTATATTAATTCTTGCCGCACAAATTATTTCAAGTTACTAAATATTTAACTTCGCTCATAAATGATACGGATATATTAATCCACAAAAACCTACAAAGCTAAGCCATGTCGCCTTTCAACTGTCAGTTGCTGAATAGAAGATAATAAACAGAATAGAAGCTCATTGAATTGAATGCATTGGTCACAAATTGTCCATTTCAGAGTTCATTGTAGAAGCCTTTCACATGTATTGAAAGCTGAATTTTACATGTTTAAGTATTAGAACCCTCAGGCCAGTTCAGACGTCGTGCTTTTGCTGTGCCGAGCTAAATTCAGGAATTAAGTTTGACAAAAGCACGGCAGGAGCACAGCGTCTGAATCAAACTTTTGAATTAAGTTCGGCAAGCAATGGAGTTCGACAAGCCTTGCCGTGCTTCACGACTCTGGCACGGCAACGATTCAAATGTCGTGCTTCTGCCGTGCTAAACAAATTTCATAAATTATATTAATGTCCTTTGGTGAGGCTGCGTTCCCATGGGGAGTTAGGAGGAGAATTCTTACAAGGCATCAGTATATCCTGAATTTGGTTTGACTCTGTCACGACGTCTGAATCAAAGTTGTTTTCCTGCCATGCTACCATTGAACCTAATTGAAATTTAGTTCGGCACGGCAGAAGCACGACGTCTGAACTGGGCCTAAGTGCATGCAAATATTGAATTACACATATTTCCATTTTAAATCTTCAATAGAAGAAAAGCTAGATGCAAAAACATGAAAAAGTTTGCTGATTATATAGACCAAGTTTTACAGGCAACCAAATTTGCATAATACTTTTGAGCCGCCACATCATTTCCCAACGATTTCATCACAGCACAGTACAAGAGAACAAATAAGTCACCACTTTCAGCTACTTAAGCGGTTAGTAATTTTTATTTTTGTGTGATCGTTTTTATTTTAGACTTAAGGTGAAATGTAACAATGCTAANGACATTTTGTTTTGAGATAGGTATCCGTTTAATCTGATTTGTCAGACACGGTGGTAAAATTTAATCATGTAAGCTAGGCTTTAGCCAAAACTAACACCACACAACTAGCACTGAAATTTCTTGCCAAAAATGCCCCTAAAATTAAATTACAAAATTGATACTAAACGAGGCCACCAAAATTAGTTATAAAATTGCCTATTCCTGTTGTTGGGCAGTCGCTTCAACGGGCAATGAAAAAAAAAAAAATAGATTTTTTGATATTAATTCTTGCCGCGCAAACTATTTCAAGTTACTAAGTATTTAACTTCGCTCATAAATGATACGGATATATTAATCCACGAAAACCTACAAAGCTAAACCACGTCGCCTTTCAACTTTCAGTTGCCGCATAGAAGACAATAAACAGAATAGAAGCTAATTGAATTGAATGCATTTGTCACAAATTGTCGATTTCAGTGTTCATTGTAGAAGCCTTTCACACGTATTAAAAGCTGAATTTTACATGTTTAAGTATTAGAACCCTAAGTGCATGCAAATATTGAATTACACATATTTCTTTTTTAAATCGTCAATAGAAGAAAAGCTATATTCAAAAACATGAAAAAGTTTCCCGATTATATAGACCAAGTTTTAAAGGCAACCAAATTTGCGTAATATTTTGGAGCCGCCAGATCATTTCCCAGCGATATCCTCAGAGCACGGTACAAGGGAACAAATAAGTCACCACTTTCAGCTACTTAGGCCGTTAGTAATTTTTATTTTTGTGTGATCGTTTTTATTTTAGACTTAAGGTGAAATGTAACAATGTTAAAGCGTTTTGAATGTGAACTTGCGTGACAACCTAATTTGCATAATGTGAGATTCGCACAAAGTACAGAAAGTTCGAGGTCACTGTGGGAAAGAAAGATAAAAAGCGCAAAGTAGTTTTATATTTCTATGCTTCCGAACCCTTGTTTAGCAGAATTCAGTTGGAGTTTTGAGCGGCCGGGTCTGGACTTGGGAAATAAACGCCAGCGAAGACAAGCTACTTTCACAGGTTTCCAGAAAGTGATAAAACGGTTGGTAATAGATAATTTTCAGGATCCCCCAAAACCAAATATATCAAAAGAAACATGCATTTCTTACCCATGAAGGATCACTTAATGTAGGGATAGTAACAATTTTTTGTTACGTTTGGTGGTCTTTGAGCAACGAGCTTGTCAATTTAGGAATTTTCCGTCCTTGGAACGTTCAAATTTAGGCGTTTTCCGGCTATGATTGTTTTGAGCTGTAAAAATATTATTTTGACGTATTTACAAAAACTAAAGCCTTTGCATTTACTTATGGCCCAAGATAGTTCACTGAGAAAAGTTTGAGGGGAAACTTTTTTCCGACCAGAAAAGCAGTGGACCGTTTTTAGAGAGACTGCCACTTAACACACAGTCTACTCAAGATAGTGGAAGGGAAGGATTAAAGTAGATGAAAAGCGATATTGACAAACAGTGTAGAAAGATTAATTTTAGCAGGAAGGGGGTGGGGAGAGACTTCTACTATAATTATTATGAAGCACTGTCCATGTTTTGACATTTAATTCAAAAGTCAGAGAGAGCTGAAAGTGGATCTAAAATATAATTACACAGAAACAGCTGAACATTCAGAGCATTCAATGTTTTTAATCTCTCTGTATGATAAAATTCAGTTTTCTATATATGTACAGGGTTTTTATTTTGTATCAATAAGGTTCAGCTACATATTAGTAGGTATCCAAGAACAAAGAGTGCAAGGATTGCCACCGACATGACCATGGATTTTCTGTTTTCTTTACGTAGAGTTCCTAAGAATTTCTCTGTAGAGAGAAACATGAAGAAAATGAAATAACTCAAAATCTCAATTACAAGGTCCAGAATGCAAAAAAAATTTCACATGTAGTGACCCGCAATAATTGTTACATAATTAAGTACGTTGCCAGAAAAGTAAGACTGTCCCCTTTTTTTGGTAGTATTGCAAAAAATGTTGTTGTTTGTAGCACCTCCTTTGCAACTTGCAACCAAATTTGTTAAAATAAGCCAACCACACTTCCTTTGTCTGTAAGAGAATTCAGAAATACAATGGGGTTTTGCTTATTGGTGGCCAAGTAGTTTTTAATAATATACATGCTACATATTCTCACCATGTTCTTTGATCTCTTCTTTTAATTGCTTTTGTTTGTTCACTAATTCATCCCTGCAGTAGATAAAAAATATACAAGAGAATGCTATCACTTTACTGAATGCAATTTTGTCTTAATGAGTACCGCTAAACACAAATCTCAGATAATTTTTTTTTTCAGGTAAATAACAATTGTTAAGATTACCTTTCACCATCTGACATTTTCTTTAAACGAAGACTTCTGTCAATCATGTCCAGTTCATTTTCACACCCTCTTATGTTATTTTCAACATCCTCGATCTAGCAAAAAAACATCTAACAGAAATTACTCAGTTGTCATTTCTGACATCAGCACACAGTTTGTGTGGATCATCTGTACTAAAGGCATCCATGGTCGAGTGTCGATCGATACCCTTGATCGATACCCACAATCAACCCTTGATTGACACTTGATTGATACTCGATTGACACTCCATCGACACCCCGGTTGACACTCCATTGACATCTTGGCCGACAATTGACTAATTTTCAATTGATGTATATGTTTTGGTNACCTGTCTCCTATAATATTAAAATTTCTCGACTTTATCCACTGAATAGTGTTCGATTTATTTTTTCGTTGCGTGACAGTGAAAACCATCTATATGTTGTTTTGACCATGCATAAATTAAAACTTCGACTGGGTTATTTGAAAGAGCTTTATATACGTTTCGATATTCTTGACAGCATGAAAACTTCTTTTAATGAAGAAAAAGTCAGCTGCTATGCCATTTGGGAGTGAAGCGCTTCTAAGTCAGTTGTTTATTAGTTCAAACACTGGTTTAAACATTTTAACATGACATGAAGGAATGTGCCACGTCTGCAGTCCACAGTGAAAAAGTATGTCTTCGACTACAATGTAACTATAAGCAACTGTGGCTAAATTTTATTACAATTAATAGGGAATTTCGGAGGGGTAGGGGGGCCCAAGTAGAAAAATCATGGAAATTCCAGGGGGTGGGGGGAGTACTGTGAAGCCCCCTGGAATGGGAAATCCTGAGGGGTGGGGGGTCATACTGGAAAAAAACCCTCCGTGTGGGGGTATGAATATTTTCTGGATCCACACATTTTGAATCAAACCATTAAAATACAAGGTAAAAGATTGTATTCACTAAGTTTGAAGGATGTAGCCTGGCTAGAAGATGCTCAGCTATTTTTCTAATTTTCCACACATTTGTCTGCAATTTTTTTCCCGTGAACTGAGTCTAGACATCCGTCTACCCAGCCAAATTTTACAGACAAATTATCAAAAATTAGAAAAATTAACTGAGCATCTTCTAGCCAAGCCGCATCCTCCAAACTTGGTGAATACAATCTTCTACATGTACCTAGCATTTTAATGTTGCAATTCACAAATTATATGCCATCGGATTCCCATACAAACATTGTAATTTCTGACCGCTTTGCCTACCTGTCATAAGCGTCGAAAACTGTGATAAGTTCTGCTCATTTGGGCTTTGCAGTTTTCTTCAAGTGAACCATGACCCTTTATTCTGCATTATGCCTCAGAAATAAAGCATAATGAAGCATATTTTATCTTTTAGCTATTCATATCCCTCCACTTCATGTAGTGTTCATTAATGACAACAATTTTAAACAATTGGTTCAGGCTTAGCATGAACCTCGTGTGGGGATTTTTCAGTCAAGGCACATCCAAGGCCCCTAGTTTCTCCAGTGCTCTCCAATCTCTCAAAGTGTGTCCATAACCCGCAACAGGCACTGCTAACAGCATGTTTTATATGAATTGTAGGGATAATTAATAAAGCAACTTAACAGCTTTTATTTGCGATGATGAAATCGAATTATAATTTATGCTTCCCACAGCTAAAAAGATATTTCTCTGCTCTGTTGTCGTTTTCTTTGTCGATGCTTTTTGGGGCTAGCTATAAAATAATATTTTTTCCCACTGAACGACCGACACTAAAGGTAATTTCGGAACTAATAAAGGATTTTATTGCTTAGAACTGGCGAAAAAACTGGCTATTTTGTGACAAGCAATGTTAAATCACACAGTTAACATTAAACATTAGTTTCAAAACAATTTGTTTAAACTTACCTGACTTACAATTGTAGCCATCTTTCGCTGAAAAGAAAGAGAAAACGGAAAAGAAAGAAACAACAAGGCTACAAAAAAAGTGGGTTAGGGCACTGGTAACTAAAGCTACTTCCACTGACCAAAAATTGTGGGCTCTTGAAGTAAGGATTCTCTGATGTCTTGATCCGTTCTTCAGTTCACTTTCAGCAAATTTACGTGGATATTCCCGGACTGTCTCATCATATTTACAATCCGGAAGACGTTCACAGAATAGAGTGATGGAACAGTTGCCTTATTGGCTGCTTTTGCTTTCAACCTGGGTTCTCGTAGTGTTTTTCCAGTGCGCCAACTGTTACCCATCAGAATGTGTTCTTCCTTTTCCGCGCAGTTATGTTGTGTACCATTTGGACGAGCAGGAATCGATTGATGTTGATGGAAAGCTGGACGACAAAGCATGGACTCGTGTTTCTTGGACAGAGGATTTTATAGGTGACCTAACTTTATGGCTAGCCAAAAAACACTCTTTGTTTCACCAGCCACTAGTTTTCTGGCTTCTCAGTAATAACAGTAGCTGTTGTTGCAGTTGAGTCTACGGTCAAATTTTCTTTTGTTTAAAAATGCATGCAAATGACCCTTTTGCCTCATTTGTACGTCAAACCGCAGGTAACTGTAATAACGGCTAGATACATTACCAACAATCTTCACTATAGAGCGGTTTTCATTTGAGTGTCGAAAAGTATTTGGTATTACACTTACTACGCCACCCGATTGGTTTAAAACACTCGCGCCACTTTTTCATCCAGTCAGGAGTAAAACTAAACCAATCGAGATTCACTTGCATGCATTTTCCCGTGCTTTGTGTCAGCTACATGTAATTGCTTGGAGTTTTGATTGGTTCACTGGATTATCTGTGTCCTTTGTGATTGGCTAGAGTTATTACTTTGGTTTTGGTTTTACGACACTCAGTTGAAAACCCCTCTGGCATGACTACATCTCTGAAGCTAAGGTGAGGCAGGAATTGGGGAGGTGTGAAGAATTTTTTGGATGTGAGGTTGCTGATGTTTGCCAGGGTTGAGTAGTGCAGAGGAAGTTGGTCTGCCTCAGATTAACCAGTGGTTAATTACCCAGCAGCATTTCTAGAATACAGTCTCAGAGTCTCCTGTCAGTGATAAACCTTACATGCATGTACTGTCGTGGAATACTTGCCCCAAATATTACTCAGTTTAAAAAGTATATGCTGCAGGCCACAGAATAGGTTAGTTTTAGGGAGGGTTATAGTCAATTTAAAAGGTTATGCATTAGTCTTTAGTGAGTATTTCGTTAAGGTTAAGGCTAGTCTATAGATGTAGTCTGCAGTTTGCAGCCTGTATTTTTTATTGACTTCCCGAGCTACCTCTGGAAGGGGCTATACTTGAATAGGATGCTGTGGTTAAATTGGTAATTTGACGATTTAATTCTGTGAATGAGGAAATTTTTTTCAATATTCTGCACAAACAGAAAATTCATGGTTGTGACTGCCACTGGCAATGCATTTTACGTACTTTAAGAGCAATATTTTAATATTTAATATTTTAAATTTTCTTCCATTCACAAACTAGATATTCAGGGATCAGATTGGAAAAAGCCCCGCTTTAGAACTCATGCTAAAATGCGATGGGATGACAAATACTTGTATGTTGGAGCCTTTCTTCAGGAGACGGATGTGTGGGCAAACCAAACAAAGCATGACTCAGTGGGTAAATGTCAGTCATACCATATCATTTATGTCAGAAACTAGCCTATGTTTCAGATGGAAATTTAACCCTGTTACAATGAATGGTACATACATGTAGTGTCTGCAACACAAGCTTGTCAGGAACATGTGCATGACTTTTGGTGAAACTGGAAGCCACTCAAACAGTAGCCTGAAACTATTATTTCACTTAAAAAAACACTGATAACCATCAGGGGTGGATCTAGGGAGGATTTAGCGGGTACAACCCCCCTGAGATGAAGCCTTATTCTTCGTGTTTGCTTTTAAAATTTGTTTAACTCGCCAGTCAGTTACTTCATTCCTTAGTGGTGTACTTCATTCTAAGAAAAATCCTGGATCCACCCCTGACCATGGATAACTTCAGCAAGGAGCAGGAAACAGGGAGGACATAACCCAGGACCTGTCAGTGGAGTCACTCCACTGATAAACCTTAATGCTGTCTCTCATATCCTCCTCTTTAGTGTCCAACAACCAGAGCTTACCCCAGTTTCTGTGACATGATGGAATGGGGATGATTTGGACNGTACTGTTAGTAAAAGTTCTGTTCAACCCTTGTAGCTTTTTTTTCTCTTAAAAGGGTGTCAAAGAGGAAAGGTGGGGGAGTAAGAAAAATGAGGGGGGAAGCTTCTCACAGAGGTGCTGACAAATTCAGCAAGTACATTAAATACAAGTCTATGTATGAGGCTTTTTACTGGTCATTTTGGTTCAAAAAATTAATGTTACACAAATTAGTAGATTATAATTATTTAAAACCTAAATGTGGGGATGGATCACTTCAAAAACGTTATTAGGTGCTGATAAATTTTATTAGCCATCCATCTTGAAAATGTTTTGTTGAGACTTGGGTCACCTGGTGCAGGGAACTTGAGGCGGTTGCTGGGGCCTTGGATGGTAAATGAAACAAGGCTAAAAAAACGTAAATTTGAGCTTGCCCTTTGGACAAGCAGCTCTGAATTTTTTCTTGCCCTGTGCCAAGTATTGAAATAAATTTACTTTTTATTTGACATATTATTTGGCAGGTGACTTACTTGCCCAGCAGGAAAATTTCCCTGTCCTAGATGACTGGACAGCACTTTTTTTGGAAATAATTTATATAGTGTATTGTACATGTAGTATTTGACAGTGAAGATATCACAACAGACAACGCTATTGGACGCTAGTGTCTCTAGCATTTTCAGTCAGTCAATTTATCATCTTACACCCACCCTACTCATAAAATTCATTGTTGCACATGTCAAGGTTTTTATGAATTTCATAAAATTAAAATTATTTGCATATTATCTAGTAACGTTGTTTCCTACCTGAGTGTAAAATTCTGCTGTAAATATCTGCTGATTTAATTGGGTTGTTTCCATTCTTTACACTTATTGTTCAAGACAAGTACTGGACCGTAGAGCTGGCTCTTCCATTCCACAATCTTGTTGATCACAGTCCCACAGCGTCAGCGCCACCAAGGAACAAGGATCAATGGAGGATAAACTTTAGCAGGTTAGTTTACACCTCAAACCTCGGTATGAAAAACGATTTCCTGTCAAAATTCTGATGACAAATTTTATTCTGGGGAATCTACTCTCAAAGTAACAAGCTTCTGCACTGTACATCTAATTGGAAGAAGTTAAGATGAAATCCAATAGGAAATAAAGCAATTTCAATTTTTAGTGGACAAAAACCTTGTAACAGAATAATTTTAAGTATTTTACAGTCCTTTTTGCATTTTCTAAAAAGTAAAGATATTATTTTAAATATTTGCCTGAAATAACATCAGACACAATTTGCCATGGGAAGCCAAGGAAATAAATATTTAAGTTCAGAGAAATTGTGCAAACAGGTAAAACTTCATCATCAGTTTCATTTCGCCAATATTTCCAAGTGTTTCATGATCATATGAGCTTCAAAACTTTGTTTTTGACCGTGGTGTTGTTAGGAATGATTTCTCTTGAGAAGATATTTAAGACTCTCAGAGAAGTTTGCAATACGATGTAAATAATCTCGCTACAAAGTTTTTGTTTGCTTGTTACTCGAACTTCTATGGTGGATTTCCTCTTAATCTCTGTATAACACTGTGTGTTTATATGGAGAAGTGCTCGTTATCAGTCTTAAAGATTTCTGTATATGAGATTTGGGGCTGGGGCTTATTTCTGAACCAGAGGTTGCGAGGAGGAAGTACTTCTTACAGCTTGTCTTTATCACCATTTTGATTACATTTTTTTCACAAGACTATACAAATAGAATGAGTGGTTTAATTCTAGAGATCAATACAGTCAGCTGCAAGTAAGCTTTCTGAGTGATCTAGGGTAGGGTGAAAAGGGATTTCTTCCTTTTCCTGTAATTCCCTTCCAGAGAGCTTGCTCACAGGCTTGCCAAACACCAAACAGGCATTAAAAAGCAAAACAGATCAAGGGTTGCAAGCAATTGAGACCTATTACAAATTCCGTAGTAACATGCGCCACCAGTTTTATACCACTGATGAACTTGTAAATTTTCTCCTAGGTTTTATAATTTTAGTTTACTATGCACACTGTAAAGTGCGTTTGGACATTTATTGAAAAAGCGTTATATAAATGACTATCATTATACTTTGGTAAACATTTTATCCTGGCTGTGGCCCTTCAGTATTTCAAATGATGATGATGATTTTTATTATTACAGCAATGGTAATATTGTCTTTTTCTGTGTAGGGTTGAGTGGCGTGTTAGGAATGTCCATGGGCATTATGAAAAGGTTGGTATATTGGATGCACACTGTAAAATCTCCCATTTGCTGATACTCAATACCTGTGATTCCGGTGACAGGGGTTAAAAGCAATGCAGTATGTCTGAGTACTTATATTCGTACATGTTCCAAAGACACCCAAAGACAATTGGGTAGGGTCATCACTGCGTCCAATGTTTCTCACAGGTTCCAAATGTACCTGAAGACAATTGGGTGTGGTCCTCACAAAGTGCCATTAACATGCACCTTCCAGAAAGGTACGTACATGTACATTCAATAGAATGATGGGTAAAGCCTCTTCGATGCCTGGTATGGCTTGACAGGTCGACAGTTTAATTCGGTTTCCGTAGCTTGTAACGACTAGGCATGTTGCTGCTAAGCCAGGCCTGGGTAGGATTTCCGTCCTTAGGGTTGCCTCCCCTTCAGCTTTTGTCTGGTTGTCCTAATAATTCACCAGCAGCAGTTTTTGATTCCTGGTTGGAAAGAGGTGCACAACGAATTTTCGTATCTTTCCCCAGTCCCACTCCACATAATCCCATCACTTTTCCAAGTCCCAATGTTATGCAAAAAGTCGTTTCAGCCGCGAAGAAAGCGAATAATTTTGAAGTAGGTTTCTTTATTCCTTTTTTTTTTTTTTGCTTGTACCTGTAGATGGGGATTCATTCAGTTCAGCACAGATGCAATAAATAAGACAGAGTTTGTTCCTACACCCAACTGGCCTGTGTACTCAGGGCTGGTAATGCTTTATGATGCTGAAAAGGTACGGGTTAGGAGTTTTTTTTACTTTCCTGTCTTTCTCTAAAGGTAATGATATCATTTTGGCGGCCATAGCTAACTTCAGTCTTGGCAACTGTTTCCAACGGGCCATTTTCGATTTATTAAAATTCTAGCATGGCTTCGAGGCTTGGGGGAATAAAACAAAACAAATTTCTTACTCATCCTTCCACCTCGATGTCATTTCTTATGTTTTATTCCCCCAAGCCTCGGAGCCAAGTTAGAATTTTAATATATCGAAAATGGCCAATTGGAAAAGCTTCTTTACAACTTCTATCTAGGCAGGGATAACGTTTGTTCTCTTCGCGTGCGTCAAAAATCCTGTCTGTCAGTATTAAAACGTAATACAGAATTTGCCCCTTTTCCCTAACAGTAAGGGATCACAAAGCCCAGTGGCCAACAGCGACCATTAGGTTGTCCCCGTTCTCGTAAAGTGAAACGAGGAGTTATGTCACCACCCCCTCCCCTCCCCTGTTGAATGAGATGGAATTCTTGTCCATGGTAGGTTGCTCTCCAGCATTCTCAGGTTGTCCCAACAGTGCGGTACCCATCTATACTCTTTGGTGGAGAGAGGCACTGTGAGAGTAACGTTTCTCTTACAAGAAATTCTCCAAAAGTCAATTGATAAAGCTCATAATTATCTTGAACATTTCTGAAGCTGTACTTATTGTTCTTTTTCTTCTGTATTGTAGAAATTCATGGCAGTGAATGGTTATTTCACGGCAAACCTGACTCAGCTTGAAATACCTTCTGCCTTGAGAACTGGTCAGTGTGATTATGAGCCTGCAGTGCAAGTTGAGAAGACTTACAATTTCGAGGCAACAGTCAAACCGAATGATCAGCGGCTTCCCGTTGGACATATACGAGATGACCGCCTTATTTGGTTCTCTGATAAAAACCGCTATCTTGAAATTTAGCCAAAAAGAAATTATCGTGTTATTTTGTTAGAAGCTTTTAAATTATTTTTATAGTAAGTATATGACCGTATATGAATGCTCTAGGCCGGGCGGAGTCTGAATCATCTGCCTTGCAGAATCAACGGAATTCATTGCGACGTCAATTTCGGCTAAATTAAAGGGAAAAAGTAGATTTATTGCGCGCATCGGCGAGCAATTCAAAGCACTATATAGCTTAGTATTACTGGATGCGGCGTGGGGCCTGTAACGCCAGGCCATAGGTTTTAGGTTATTACATGTAATTTTACAAGTGGGTTTTGAGTGTAAAACACTCCATTTCGACTATTTCGAATTCCTTTTTTTCGGCTAACGCATAACTTCACGCTCGTTAACGCGGCTGAAACTGTTAATGTCATCTCTGGCTCTACGTATAGTTCAGCGCGGAGTAGTGACTTTACCTTCCTCGGTTTTACTAGACTTCTAGTTAGATAATTCTAATATTGCCCCGGAACTCTTTTTTTACTCGCCTACAAGACCGCTTTAGATCCTGACTATCCGCTGTTTCCAATTTTCTCATAGCTATATATCATCCACTTGGTGCGATGAAAAAAAGAAGATTAAAAAGTATCACAAGAGGCAAAACGCAACTGGAGTTGCAATCGACTGATAACTTACAGTGAGATACTAAACCACGTACCAGCACTCTAAATATTACATCACAAATAATAGTTAATCATAATTGCTTTACTGATATTAGAAAACAAACTACTGTGTGGAGGTACGTAAGATCAAAGCAAGGTAACATTGGAGTGATAATCTATTCCTGGTTCAGTCAAACTGCAAACTATCAGGGATGAAGAAGTACGTTATTTTAAAAATAGCGATGACTTAAATGATACAAAAGTAAATTTGTTAAATGTTAATAGGCCGGTTTATTGAATAACGAGGTTTTAATTGCCAGGACTCTCAAGTGAATGTAACACGATTTTAAGACTTCTTAGACCAAGGAGTCCTTTCCTTAATATAGTGACCGTGTGAAGAGGCTATATTACACCGACTTTCCTTTGGTGGCGTAGCTTGGGTCTCGATTTATCCGGTTCATTAACGTGATAGCTACCAGAGCATTATCGCCCAAAATCCCAATAGGTCAGACTGCACGTGAAACGTGTAAACGTCGAGTTTTCATTGGTAGGTTTATTTGGGATTGGAAACCACCCTAAAAATAACATCAAGGGTTTTGTCAAGGACATTTTCATCCAACCATGTAAACAGGTAAAGGGTGGTCTTTGGCAGGAAGGTCACCATTTACTCCGATTCATCATTTACTAAAAGTTTATATATGAAAAGGTTTAGCCCTCCCTTCGCGCATGCTCTACATTCCCTGACTTGTCCCTACGTAGGTTGACTCGGCCCCAGGCTCCCCTACCTTCAAGGCGGTGAGCCTCCATCAAGGGTTCCCTTGTTCTTCCTTTCCCAAAGCCTCGTGTGATTAGCCAGGGTGATATAATGATGTGTAATAGGCACTTAATGACTGCCCTCAAGGGAAACGGCGAGTTTGGTTTCCCCGAGACCCTCGATGTTTCTGGAGGCGAAGCCGAGGGGAACATCGAGGGTCGAACAAAACTCACCGTTTCCCGTTGGATCCGTCGTTATGTGTTCTCTTATACCTCCCAAGTGAAAAAAAAAGAAAGAAAGAAAACTGCGACAAAAGTATTTGCTTCATGCTGGCTGGCACACAAATTCGCCGCGGTTCCAAGTTGCACGACCTGATCACGTATAAGTCGAAAGTTCAAGTTGTTGTCACCCTAGCTAAGGAGTTAGTCAGTTTTGTTCGCCCTGGGGAGTTAGTGAGTTTTGACCCATGATACGTGACATGGTCTCCTCCAATCGGAAAACGTATTTGGGTTGGGAGGTAAAACAATTTAGTTTGTTTAATCCACCCTCACCCCTGAGGATTTGTCAGCTTTGCAGAAACTCGCCACGGCATTCAGTTTACCTCTATAAACTATAAGCTGCTACATAACCAAGTGCAGAAGTTTTTAAGCCTCTGCTGTGATCGTAAAGTTCTACAATAGCTTACGATAAGCAAGAATGTCTGCAGAACTTTATTAGTGAGTACCGGGCCTAATTTTTGAACATCAAAAGCGTGTGTTTTAAGAATTTTCAAAATTTTAACTATAACAAGCACAATTACATTGGCGTTTCTTATAGACGCGTCAAAGCGAGGACATTTCAGTTGTGTTTAATGTAAGCGCCGTTTTTTGCCGTGACTCGCCCTGTGAGTGTGCGCTTGACGCCTCAGTTTGCGGTATCCCTGTGGATACAGCTCCAACACGTCATCAATCACGTGAATAACTCCATTCGTTGCCGGTAGATCGAGGTCGATAATGCGCATGCCATTGACATACACTCGTCCGTTCCAGCCATAGCGTACTTTAAGGACGCCACGAGCCGTGGAAAACACGGAGAAGTGGTTGCTGAACAGCGACCAGTAGCTGAATTTGCAGTGAATACCGCACGTGTACAGCGTCCCGTTTACTAAATGATGCTGAAGAACTTCTGTCAGCTCTTCAGGGTGAGCGAGAAGACCTTCCATTGATCCAGGAGACTTGAGTTCGAGTTTGGCAAAAGCCCAGTTCGTTGGTGCGAACAGGGTTAACGAGGCGGCTGGGTTCTTGAGGACTGGCGCGAGCGTGGTGACGTTTATGGCCTCCATGAGTGTTAGGAAGCGAGGATCAGAGTTGATGACGTCGTAGATTGTCTTGGTTGGCGGTAGCAGCACTTTGTGAATAACATGGATGACTCCATTGCAGGCTTCAATATTGGCTTTAGTTAAGCATGCGCCGTTGACGGAGTGTACCTTCAAACAAAAGACCAGTTCAAATTACCGTACGTTACAAGGCTTCCAATACTTTATATTATAAAGGGCGAGGAAAATGAAGGCGTTAGTTACACTCTTGCGTATTGAAAGTTTTTGAAAAAAGTTTCGATCTTTGAGGTAACAAGGGTTAAGTAATTAAATAGTTTTGAAGTGCTTTAGTGACCGAGTTTAGGAATATATACCTAGACCGACGTTCACGCTTTCTGATTGGTTGTGAAGTCGTTTTACTAAACGGGCAAGACGATTCAAATCTTGCGCTGTGATTGGCTATTCGAGCGGGCAAGATGGCGCTATCTAAAATTCCCCGAAATTGGCCTCATTCTTTTTTTTTTTTGCGAGTTTATGGAAACACAAACAAACACATGAAAACACGCAAAAAAGGAACTTGGCCAATATCTAGCCAACTTGACCTCAAGCTTGGTCGATAACCCATATTTATTATATGGCTAGCTCCGTGAGTAGGCAAACTGAAACAAGTGCTGTGCTGTGATTGGCTACCCGAGCGGGCAAGGTGGAGCTATCTTGCCCGTTAGGGTTTACGCGCTGTGTCCCGCAAGAAAAATTTCCCCGAAGCCGAAGCAGAAGCCATATAAAGAAAGAACTAGGCCACTATCCAGCCATCTTGACCGAACAAGCTTGGTTAATAACCCATGTATAATATAATATATAACAAATATATGAACCCTCGCGTGTAGGCCGGGATGACATATTGAACTTTCGGCGAAGATTCTCTTAAACATGTAGTTTCGAGGGTTAACGCGCGCCAATCTGTATTTCTTCAATATACAACGACGAGGTCTTTTTTAACAGACAAAAGGGCTACTGGCAAACTACTAACGATTTTCCTAAAAAATTACAACTCATGCCATGATGACCATCTTTTGATATGGACAGCTTAATCCTCACCGTACCTTGCCATATCTGAATGAATTAAGACGGAGTTTGTCGGGCTCGTTGAGAGAATTCACCAGCGAATCCTTCCCAAATTCGTACGTCCACTTCCTCTCAGGAAGTATGTGGTAAGCGAGCAGCCCCTTGAGTTTGGCGGGATCTTCAAGTAGGGACCGCTTGGTTGAGTCGGGTAAAGCCTCGAAAGCTTTATCAGTTGGAGCAAACAGCGTAAACGGCCCCTGTTCCTCCTTTAAAGTGGTGGAAAGGCCGGTGGCGTCCAGGTACTTAATGAGTGTTGTGAGGTTCAGAACTTTGACCACTTCCAAGAGATTCATTGCTAAAAGAAAGATGGTTAAAACCACGCTTGAGGTCGCAGCAAATAAGAATCTGATAATGGCGTCTTGATTTATAACTACATTTTCTCAAAGAGTATTTTAGATAATGCGATCTGTTTCCTTTTCTCGCGTTGAAGCCCTTCCAATCCACGTCCACACCCATACAAATTATTTCGAACGCTTTTACTGCAGAGTTGCAGAATTTCAAACCAAGCAAAGAACAATGGACGTCACGCAAAATTACATTTCCATTTCACATTTTCTTTACTTGGAGAAAGGTATTGCGTGACAATTAATGGACTGCAGTAGGGTCAGTCCCATTCGCAGCCATTGACTGAGAGGTCACGCAACACTCCTTCCCTTAAACACATCGAGTCATGGAGATTACAATTTGAGGGTACTATGCAAACTGTTTTCTTCTGAGAATATTTTTTTACCTGAAACAGGCATCAATACTTTGTTAATAGTATGAATGATTCCATTATTGGCACTGACGTCAGCATTCGTCACCATGGCGTCGTTTACTTCGATCTGTCCTTCGCCACCTAGTTTAACATCGACGAAATGTCCTTCCACAGTGGTGTAGCGACCGTTGTCCAGCGCGGCTGTGTAAATTGGCTTGGGCAGCATGTGATACTTGACAAATTTCTGCAATAGTAATCAATGTGGAACAGTTTTCAGTCTAATAAACTAGTTGGAAAATCAAATAGAAGCGAAAATTCGTTAACTACAGTTATTTGCTTTGCCACTTGGTTTCATCATGAAAGATGATTCGGACACATCGAGACTGGTCAGTGAAATCCAGACGACGGTAGTCCAGTCCGGGGCAAGTTGTTCGGGAATGGTGTAGCGAAGTAGGTGGTTGGGGAGTAGGAAGGTGCTCCCTTGAATCTTCAGGAGAGGTGTGTGGGGCTATTCTCTGCTCTTGCAACTTTAACTTGTTGCAGGACACGTGAAGCATCTAGTTTTCCACCCTTTTTATGATTCTACTCTCATTCCAGACCTGAAATGCATCGACAAGTCTTTATAGCGTGTTATGAAATAGGTCTGGTGATTTTTTTGTTCTCAGCCTAACTCTCTTTTATCGTCAAATGATGTAATGGGCCAATACGGTCCTGTTCTCGATTACTAACCACTGTTCGGGAAAGGAGCCCGCGCTCCTCCCCAGCGCTAACTCAGGGAGGAAAGTAGACCAGACTCCAGTGAACTGCGGACATTGAGCCTAATACGGTCCTATATTGCCTTTAAAATGATGTTTTATTTACCAAAAGAGTCAGAATCAATATCGTTCTTTCCACTAGACCTGTACAACGTACCTCAACACATTCGTCATTGGAAAGAAGGTTTTCCAGTCTCTCGCGGTCCATCATTTCAAAAGCCTGATCGGTGGGTGCGAACAAGGTCATGTTGGTGAAGTTCATTGCGGAATTCTCGATCATTTGTGAAAAGATACTGAAGTTTGGATCGCTCTTTAGAATATCTCCAATGTTATCGACGGCTGGTTTCAGCACTCTGTCAATAACGTGAATGATTCCATTACTTGCTCCTTGGTTTGAGACAACAATTTCTCCTCCTTGTATCACGATTGTCTGTCAAAAGAGTGAAAGGATAAGTATAGCTTCCGAACACGCCATAAAAACGCGAAGGAACGGGAGAACGAAGTCAAGAGGCGCAGGGGATCGATGCAACGACAGGGGAACAAAATAAACGGGGATGTCATAAACAGGGAAAGCGAAGCAGCGATAAAACGTGTGAACGTTAAGTCCAGTCACAAGCATGTCACCTATTCTAGGTGATATGCTTCTGGTCCAGTCTCTGGACTCTCTCTTCTCCGCGCGCTCTTTTAAGAGATGGAAAACATGAACCGTGTTACTATCGAGTTTTTGAAACACAGGGAGCCCGTTTTCTATTTCTTTTAGAAAATTCTGCGGCGACTCTTCTCTCGCCTGGGTTCAACACCTATATTGAGCAGGGAAGAGAGAGTTCAGGGACTGGACTAGGGAAGGGGAGAATGAGTGAAGGAGGGGGCGAAGGAAAGACGGTACGAGAGAACCAAGAAACAAGGGCTCTTGGCAACGAGCAACGGCACTGGATTGTAGGGAAACCAAGGGAGGGGACAAAAAGGAAGCGGGGGCCAGATACACGAGGGAGCCTGGCAACGAGGGAATAATGAGCTATAATAGAAGACAGTACGAGTTCAAGAATTGTTGTGTTACCTCTCCGTCTTCCGCCACATTGATGCGCAGTTCTTGCGAGCCGTCTAGTGTTATTATCTTTCTGTTGTCTTTCATTGTTTCAGTGACAATCTTTCCAGCCGCCAAATGCAACAGAAGCGTTTCGCGAAGTATCTCCTTGTTGTTAGCAAGCTCTTCTAAAGTTTCTTTTGGCAAGGTAGAGAACGCTTGGTCTGATGGTACAAATGCCGTGTAACGCGTGTCAGCGTCCAGCTCAGACGAAAGACCAGAAGCCTTCATTAGTTTTGTAAATTCACCCAGGTCAAGAGACTCTGCCACCTCCATTATTTTCTTATTTGAAGTGTAAAGTTCTGAAAAAGAAATGGCACCCAAAGATCACAAAATGATGCAGCGTTGCCTAGGGGTTAGGGAGCTGGTTTTATGATCCGGAAGTCCCGGGATCAAATCCTCCTCCCTGCCGCTAGATGGATTTGTGTTCGGCGGTCCTCAGCGAATTCAACTGCGCTACGTCTTGCAAATAGCCAACTAGTCAACCTTCAACCAGTTGGGATTTTTAACAAGTTTTCAGTTCTTCTTGCAATAATGTTATTTGTTTCTTGATTCATAGTGTCCCCAGTTAGCACAACAGTGTTAAATACCATAGCAATGACACATAAATAAAGATATCAGTATTTATTTGAAATAAGTTTGAAAATTTTCGATGTGCGCACTAAACTATAAATATCTGTCGGTAGAGCCTTAAACTGCATTCTGTCCAGTGCTTCTTTTGTTTCACGCAGAAAAGTGAAAACATAGGAAACACGAGGCGTCTGCATGCATGTTTGTCTAGAATAACGTAAAACGGGGATCTTAAGTCCTTCACGGTATGAAACAGATGTGATAAACAAACTTTATATATATATAGCCACTAAAACAAACACTACTCAATATTACGACCCTTCTCAATCGTGCACCGTGATTCGTCCCAGCTCAATCGCACGGTACCGATATGGTCATACCTTTTGGGCATCCGGGACTTCCTTCCACTTGGGTATATCCGGGACAGCACCGATATTCTGTCAAATAATGCTGTTCGGTCCTGCGCAATAAAAGAGAAACAGTCACAGACTCGTAAGCTTCCAGGAAGTCATCATTCTGGCGGTTTAGGAATGTAATTAACGTACCTGCACTGAAGTCTCCGCTTCCCGGGTATCTTCCTGCATTTTCGAAATATTCCTATGGGAATCCGATGTGTACAAACATTTGGCCTAAAGATGAAGAAGGAGATGATAAAATTAAAATAAGCTGCTATGACAAAGACTAGAACACAGTCGAACCTCTCCACAACGGCCACCTTGGGGACAGAGGAAGGTGGCCATTGCAGAGAGGTGGCCGTTAAGGGGAGGTAAGGGTCTAATATGACACGTGCTTTTGGGCTGCAACATTGTCATTCAAAAAATGCTTATTTTAGCATATATAAATCAAAATGTATCAATAAAACAGAAACTTTATAGAAACAGAGACCAATGACGCGCCGTACGGATCAAGTTTTGTGACCTTTTACAATACAAAATGGGGTTTTGTATACACCATTCGTCAGTCGTTGATTAACTGGCCGTTGTGGAGAGGTTATTGTCGCAGTTTGGACGAGTTTTAGTAGCCGTTGCTGTTGTGCAGAGGTGACCGTGGTAGAGAGATTAAAATAAGAGTGAATGTATAGACTGTCCCTCGGGCCAAAAATAGCGGCCGGCGGTGGCCTCCGTTATTGGAGGTTCGACTGTACTTATCATGATATGGATAGTAACTGCGTAGCGCCACCATAATAAAGTAAGTTCAAAATGTTAGTGGCGGTGATGATATTGAAAAGTCCATGAGTTTCAGGGCTGCTGCCACTTAGTCAGTGATAAGCGCCCGTGATCTTTTAAAATGTGCCTACAGAAAGAATATGTAGCCTGTCCCAGGCGCTCAGCTAAGACGTTGGTTTTCTAGAGTAGCAGCGCAGTAAGGAAACTTTATTGTGTAGAGATTAAAGAAACAGAACAACTGAACAAACTACTAGCAGTAAAGAGCATGTCGATCGCACGCGTAATACGTGAAACGTGAAGCGTGAAAGGTGAAGCATGAGGCATGAAGCGTGAAGCGTGAGGGGTCACTTGGTTCACTCGACGAACGTGGAGTCAGCTTGCGTTCGCTAAACTATTCTCGGTCAGAAAAATTTCCCCTACCCCCCTCAGAAAAGAGGTAATAAAACAGAGGTTCATCGCTTGTGAATTTCACTTACTGGCTGCAAATGTTTAGTTGATGATTATCTTTATTCTCTTTATCCGTCTGTTCGACTGTTTAATTAGAAAGCAGATCTAGATCGCAAACATACAGTGAAAACAATTAAACCGTGAACACTTGACATTTTTGGTGGATTTTTTTGCGGATGACTATTCAATGAGAACTCTTCATAAAAACCGAAGGATTAGCAATTTTATAATTAAAAACGCTAATCCTTTTACTTATAAGAAGATCCCTTATTGGGTAACAGTAAAGAAAAAAATGCAGTAAAAAATTTCAAGTCTTCATGGTTTAAATGAAGTTGTCGAAATGACACTTCACTTTTAAACCTCCCTTCCTGTAGACTTTCATCGTGTTCGACAGCTGACACGCCTATCACGTATTTCTGCTCCGTGGGAGTTGAAAAGTAATTCCGTTTCAGCAACAAAGTGTCATCTAATATTCAAATATATCATTTAATATAATCAAAGTAAATAGCTTTTCTAACTTCCGATAGTGCATGAGTTTCTTCCTTTACTTGCTCGATACATATATTTTTGTGGCTCAGTTCAAAACATTTTCTTTTTTCTAGTTTTTGCGTGCAAGAAAGGTTATTGAGTATTCAGCACTCTCTTCAAAAATAAAAGTATAATGGAACATCCCAAAACAAGATTGTCATGGCCTCAGGAAATCACGGAACAGAAACCTTCCATTGTTTCAGTTACTATCCTTCTGGTAGCCTGAAAGGTGAGTCCAGCATCTTCCGCCCTCAGCGGCCTATAAATCCCCGGACCGGCATCTCCCGCCCTCAGCGGCCTATAAATCCCCAGGCCGGCATCTCCCGCCCTCAGCGGCCTATAAATCCCCGGGCCGGCATCTTCCGCCCTCAGCGGCTCATAAATCCCCGGGCCGGCATCCTCCGCCCTCAGCGGCTTATAAATCCCCGCGCGAAAGACGACGGGAAATAAGGCTGAGGGCGGGAGATGATTGACATTTTAGGCTATCCTTCCGGTCTTTCAATACGGAGTTAATCATATCCCGGGGAAAAATGACCTTCAAGAGAGCTTTCTGCTCCGTGCGAGTCGAAAAGTAATTTCGTTTCAGCAACGAAGTGTCATCTAATATTCAGTGATCTTTCCTGAGGCTTCAATGGTAAATTTAATTTTGAAGAAAACCCTGAGATTTTATACAAATCGGACAAAAGAAGTTAATATGATGTCATTATGAACCATTATCTGTGTATGCCGAAGCACTAGATGTTTCGTCACTGGAGAATTCAGGCAATCGTTGAAATGTCATCATAATATTTCTCAAAATAAACATTTAAGAGCGAAACATGCGTTTATTATCATCACAACTCGAATTTATAAAGATAAAATCAAGATCCTCCCGATTCGATTACCTTGAACGCGTTCTCAGACATAAACAATCCTAAGTTCGAAGAAATTCGAAGAATCGTAAGAAATGAGACGAGAAACGAGGCAAAACAGATACGTGAAAGAACGAACCGAGCTTCAGATATAATACGCGTGACACTGGGACAGGATTGTCCGAATATTGCCACGACTTTTTCTATGCCAATTCTTTCGCTGGGCCGAGCAGTGTTTTCTTCCCCACGAATGCATAGCATAACTTTATTATATACCTACCCTTCACCACTCGGTAAAATCTCTGGTTTGCTCTGTTGTGGCTGTAGAACTCCTTCGCTTTGACCAATATCAAGTTTCTGCCACCAGTCTTCCCAGTATTCTCGCCATTTATAAGGACTCCACCAATTCGATGATGAGCTAAGCTCTAAAGAGGAACTGAGAATGAGCAAATAAAACAACAATGACTTCGCCATTTGGATTACTTTCTACGTGTCTTTGTAGAAAGTTAAGGTCAGGAGTGAATGGCGGAAACTCTCAGAAAATGTGAAATATCTGTCAAATCTGTCAATCAAACGAAGATACGACACAGGCAGCGCGAGCAGGCGTCAATGATCATCGTAGAACAGGCAGAAATTAAAGAAACTTTCCGTCCCAAATATAACTTTATACCGCATTCAACGGACGAGTTTAGTGGTATCATTGTAAAAATAACTTGAGGAAAGTGTCCAGCAGGAAAGTCGGGGATGTACTCCTGGTGGTGTACTCAGTTTTACGCGGAAACTTCTCGACTGGAGTGTTTCTGTCGAGGAACTATCGGCTGATAGTCGCCCCGCGGAAATTTGATGTATATCTGATGAAGTATGAAATATCTGCCCGAAAAGCGATGCTTCGAGGGCAAATGTGCTGGNACGCCTATCACGTATTTCTGCTCCGTGGGAGTTGAAAAGTAATTCCGTTTCAGCAACAAAGTGTCATCTAATATTCAAATATATCATTTAATATAATCAAAGTAAATAGCTTTTCTAACTTCCGATAGTGCATGAGTTTCTTCCTTTACTTGCTCGATACATATATTTTTGTGGCTCAGTTCAAAACATTTTCTTTTTTCTAGTTTTTGCGTGCAAGAAAGGTTATTGAGTATTCAGCACTCTCTTCAAAAATAAAAGTATAATGGAACATCCCAAAACAAGATTGTCATGGCCTCAGGAAATCACGGAACAGAAACCTTCCATTGTTTCAGTTACTATCCTTCTGGTAGCCTGAAAGGTGAGTCCAGCATCTTCCGCCCTCAGCGGCCTATAAATCCCCGGACCGGCATCTCCCGCCCTCAGCGGCCTATAAATCCCCAGGCCGGCATCTCCCGCCCTCAGCGGCCTATAAATCCCCGGGCCGGCATCTTCCGCCCTCAGCGGCTCATAAATCCCCGGGCCGGCATCCTCCGCCCTCAGCGGCTTATAAATCCCCGCGCGAAAGACGACGAGAAATAAGGCTGAGGGCGGGAGATGATTGACATTTTAGGCTATCCTTCCGGTCTTTCAATACGGAGTTAATCACATCCCGGGGAAAAATGACCTTCAAGAGAGCTTTCTGCTCCGTGCGAGTCGAAAAGTAATTTCGTTTCAGCAACAAAGTGTCATCTAATATTCAGTGATCTTTCCTGAGGCTTCAATGGTAAATTTAATTTTGAAGAAAACCCTGAGATTTTATACAAATCGGACAAAAGAAGTTAATATGATGTCATTATGAACCATTATCTGTGTATGCCGAAGCACTAGATGTTTCGTCACTGGAGAATTCAGGCAATCGTTGAAATGTCATCATAATATTTCTCAAAATAAACATTTAAGAGCGAAACATGCGTTTATTATCATCACAACTCGAATTTATAAAGATAAAATCAAGATCCTCCCGATTCGATTACCTTGAACGCGTTCTCAGACATAAACAATCCTAAGTTCGAAGAAATTCGAAGAATCGTAAGAAATGAGACGAGAAACGAGGCAAAACAGATACGTGAAAGAACGAACCGAGCTTCAGATATAATACGCGTGACACTGGGACAGGATTGTCCGAATATTGCCACGACTTTTTCTATGCCAATTCTTTCGCTGGGCCGAGCAGTGTTTTCTTCCCCACGAATGCATAGCATAACTTTATTATATACCTACCCTTCACCACTCGGTAAAATCTCTGGTTTGCTCTGTTGTGGCTGTAGAACTCCTTCGCTTTGACCAATATCAAGTTTCTGCCACCAGTCTTCCCAGTATTCTCGCCATTTATAAGGACTCCACCAATTCGATGATGAGCTAAGCTCTAAAGAGGAACTGAGAATGAGCAAATAAAACAACAATGACTTCGCCATTTGGATTACTTTCTACGTGTCTTTGTAGAAAGTTAAGGTCAGGAGTGAATGGCGGAAACTCTCGGAAAATGTGAAATATCTGTCAGATCTGTCAATCAAACGAAGATACGACACAGGCACCGCGAGCAGGCGTCAATGACCATCGTAGAGCAGGCAGAAAGAGTAGAAAGAAACGTTTCGTCCCAAATATAACTTTTTGCTGCCTTCAAGGGACGAGTTTAGTAGTATCATTGCAAAACTAACTTGAGCAACGTGTCTGGCGGGGAAATAGGGCATGCACTCCTAATGGTGTACCTTTTACGCGGAAACTTCTCGACTGGAGTGTTTCTGTCGAGGAACTATCGGCTGATAGTCGCCCCGCGGAAGCTTGATGTTCTTAAACAAATACCTACCCGAAAAGCGATGCTTCGAGGGCAAATATGCCAGTTTTAAGAACATCAAATTTCCAAGGGGCAACTATTAGACCGATAGTTCCGAAACATAAACATTGTTCACCAGTTAAATTTTCTTCCACCCCGGGAGGGGGGAGGGGGGTGCGGGGCGAGGAGTACTCCCTTATTTGGGCTAATAGGTATGTGCGGCCCCAAAGGGTATGGTTTCTCAGCCGTTTTGGTCACAAATGGGGTATCGAATTTTGGCCATTTTGGTCATAAATAGGGTGTGGTTTTTGCACTCTAGTTTTGACATGGGTATGTTTTTAACAAGAAGCTAGATTTTCATCATTATTGATAAGTCCATCGGCAAAATCACTTTATCAAACTTTATGTTTAATCTCTGGTAGACAATGGCTCTTAACTTTTACTTCCTTTTGTGGGCATTTTTATTGTTCGTAGCTTTGAGGCTCTTTTGTTTCTAGAACAAAAGTTTGAAAGAAGCGACCCGTAGCAAATTTCCGAGCGCGAGATTCAAAATCTTCGTTGACGACCATGTGTTGACAATATCACCCTTCTCTGGGTGGGGTAAGGGAAATTTCGCTCAGAACAACGACAATTTTACCGGGGCTACGGAAGGGAAAATTTGTTTCATGACGCGCTGGCTGTCGAAGTTTCAATGTATTCACCTTCTTCGCGCAAACAACAAAAAGCTTATTGTCTTAAAAAATTTAAACCATAACAATAGGCAAAGCTGAGAGTATTGATCAGTCCATCAGCAAAATCACTTCACTATTTATATTTACGACAATTTAACATTGGTCTAAACTAGGGAACTAATTATAAGGCAGGTCTGAAACAGGGTATTGGTTTAAGGATCAGGTCATAAATAGAGTTTCGAATTCTTGGTCACGTCATAAACAGGGTAGAGAAAATCGCAGATTTTGGTCATAAATAGGGTAACGGTTTGGGGAGCGGGCTGCACATCCCCACCCGATTTTTCTGGGAGTACCCCCCGGGTCTTCCACGCGCCAGCTCAAAAATCATATTAAATTATTTTCAACACTTTTAGATGAAAGGTGTGAAAGCCAAATGTAACATTTGTAAAAGAAACTGAAAAATTGCGTCTTTCATTTTTTTTTCTATAAGCCCCCTTGTACTACATGCTTCCATCCGGGTATTTCTTCGGACGGGCACTACCATGTGCAGATAGTGTCTATCCGCCGGTGAACACTATCCGCCACGTGATCAATTTAAATCAATAAGAATCGGAGAAAATTTAGTGTTGAACTATAAGAGATGTAAGTTTAAGAAGCCGAAGGCAGTACCTACATTTTTCAGGCTGAAGGTCATAAAAGTAAAGGAACTCCAGGAGTTGAGATATAGTTGGACCTAGCTAATTCGAATTATATTTGGTTTCCCCCTGAGAGTTCGAAATAGCGGGGTTCAACTGTATGACAAAAAGGTCTAGGCTGAAAAAGGCCGTTTAAAATATCTGGAATTTAACAAGTCAACCCCGATTGGTACAGTTATCAAAATAAGGAAAGCGGAAACTTGGACAACTGAGGAGGAGAAGAGATCCAACAGGGATAAAAATTATCAGGTTTTCAATCATGTAAAGCAAAGAAACTTTCTGTCCTAGCTAAGCTTTGTACCGCTTTANTGCCATTCCTTATTTTTTAGTCGGGATCATTTGCGGTCCCCATCGGGGATCATTTCCGGTCCGGGATCATTTGCGGTCCAATTTGGGGATCATTTGCCGTTCGGGATCATTTGCGGTCCTGGGATCATTTGCGGTCCTGGGATCATTTGCGGACCCCTACAGTACCTACATTTTTCAGGATGAAGGTCATAAAAGTAAAGGAACTCCAGGAGTTGAGATACAGTTGGACATGGCTAATTCGAAATATTTTTGGTTTCCCCCATAGAGTTCGAAATAGCGGGCTTCAACTGTATAACAAAAAGGTCTAGGCTGAAAAAGGCCGTTCAAAATATCTGGAATTTAATTAACAAATCAACCCCGATTGGTACAGTTATCAAAATAAGGAAAGCGGAAACTTGGACAACTGAGGAGAAGTGATCCAACAGGGATAAAAATTATCAGGTTTTCAATCATGTAAAGTAAAGAAACTCTCTGTCCCAGCTAAGCTTTGTACCGCTTTAATTTTCGTAATCAAGGTACTAAAGCAAAAATTGCTTTGAGAAAATTGCTGCAGTCCGCTGTAGTCAGCATGCGGCCGCCAGGTTGTGCTAATCCACGAGCGACCGAGCATCCCGGGGGGGACTCCTGTATGAAAAAGTCTGGTAAGGCCGGGTGCGCTCGAATAAATAAGAATAAGAAAACGCGCTCGTTTCACTTTACAGGTTTTATTTCCACCGCTCTCTCAAGTCCGATCTTACTACTCTCGCGAACTCCTTTCCCGAACAGCGGCCGGTAATCGAGCCAATTCGGTTTTAAGTGATATTTTTTATGAGGCAAATAAAGCTAAGGCCATGCCCAGATTGGTTTCCTTTAGGGGTTTGATTCAGATTTTCCGACGAGCATCCCCGGCCTTTTCACATATATGACAGCCCCCCCAACCCCCGGAACCAAATGATACTAGAGGATAACGTTCACAGCTCATGAGTTTTATTCACCATTTCTTTTACATTTCTGCCTTGCAGAACTGAAGCTAAAAGAACACGTCTAAGAAATTAGAAACTGACAAGAACTACTTGCGGTGGACGTGCCCAGTCATTATAATTAATTGCACTGAATTTAGGGTCCAAGTGAACCTCATTCTCGGGGT